CTGCTACGAATGGCCGCTTTCAACTCTTGAACCCTCTCTTTTTTGTCGTCGTTGGCGGCGATTCTGAGCATCAGACATTTATACATGGTTTTATGTATATCTCACTCGTGGTTTGTTGGCTGTGAGTGGCTGAAACCGTCGATTGAAGGATTCAGCAATGACCACTGCCTGGAGGACCTCATCTGTTTCCAACGCTTTTTCTTTGCCTGCTGCTTTTGGTGGCATTGATATGTGCAAACAGGCGGCTATCGATGCCTCGTAAGGACGAGTTATGGGATCGTCGAGTCAGAACAATAGTGGCGTGCAAATACAAATGTTGATGAAACTTAGCCTCACGAGCGCAACGGCTTCATCTACGCCGGGTCACAAAGAGACAAGATTTTGCACAACAGAAAAATTCCGTCTATTATGTTCACGAGAACATACGAGACATTGCAAGCATAGAGTGCTATTGAACAAGTCACTACATGCATGAGATAAGGACCTATAGAGAACATGTGATGAAAGGAGAATGGATTCATCATGCACTACTACCTATGATCACTTCGACATCCGCGAGTGGGTGGAGGGTTAGAGCACACGACTATTAGCGATGGGAAGTATCGGGGGAAGAGTGGGAATTGGGGAAAAGAAAGAATCATAACGACGTGCAACTGCTGAGATGAGGACGAGATTGTGCGCAATACGTTGTTGGGGCATTAAGAGTTAAACTATGTTCCAAGCTTACGCAGCGGCAGCAACCGGAGCGGGGGTCTCATCCTTCTTTGTCTCTTCCACGGCAAGAGGTGCAACGGGAGCTGGCTCCTCAATCTTGGGAGCCTCCTCAGCGACTGCCGCTGCTTCCGGCTTACTACAAAAAAGACAATTAGAATTAGAATTATATTATAGAGAAATTAGACCAACACTTTGGGCTCCTTGGGCTTAGCAGCAAAGAGATCCGAGATTCTGGTGGAGAGACGGCGGCCGATCTTTGCGGAGTCCTTCTTCTTCTTCTCGTCAGAGGAAGTGGTGGCAGCAGGTGTCTCAGTTTCGGCAGCGGCGGGAGCAGCAGAGACCGGGGCCTCGGTCTCCTTGACTGGCTCAGTGGTGGCAGGGGTCTAGATGGAGTGTATGAGTGTCAACGTTAGACAACATGAAACGATAAAAATAATCACCTCCTTCACCTCCTCAGCAGCAGCTGGGGCTTCAGTAGCGACTTCCTTTGGAGCCTCCTCAGTGGTGGCCTCCTTCGGCGCCTATCAGCAAAACGTAAGTCTCGATCGCAATCAGGCAAATGATCAGTGATGACAAACCTCTTCCGTCTTTTCCTCCTTCTTGGTTTCCTCCTTCTTGGTCTCCTTGCTCTTCTTTGGCGACTTTGGTGACTTGGGAGACTTCGGTGCCTTCACCTTCTTCTCGGCGGTCTTACCGCCTCCGAAAATCTTTGCGAGGAAGCCAGTCTTGGCCTTAGCCTCCTTTCCAGCGGCATCTTCACCAGCCTAGTGATTTCAAAGGAAAAAAGGGGCATGGTGAGATGGGGGCTCGCCATGTTTGCAAAATAGAGGGCAACGCATACCTTTTCCTCAGTCTTTGCTTCTTCAGTAGTAGCAGCCTTGTCGTCAGTGGTGGCGGCAGCAGTGGTCTCTTCCTATGATACGATGGGGAGTCAACAAGGGATAAGCGGACCTCCCAAAAAGGAAGTGGTAACCTACAGTAGCCTTGGGGGCCTCGTCCTGTACTCATGTTAGTCTGTGAAAGTGAAAAATAGACGCAAAGAGGACTGACTACTTTGGGGGTCTCCTCAACAACGGGAGCGGGGGTCTCAGTAGCCTTAGTCTCATCAACGACGGGGGCAACAGTCTCGGCGGGCTTGTTCTCAACGTTCTCAGACATTATGAAGTAGTTTTGTGCTGTCAGGGAGGGACAAACGTTAGCAGATGCACGGAAGCAACGGCGAGAAGGTGTTGGGAACGAGTAAAAACGGGGTAAAAAGAGACAAGGGGTGCTGGAGGGGATAGGGGGGAGTGTGCTAGGTAGAGAGGCTCACTGGATGAGGGAGATTAAGAAAAGGTAACACTGAGAGAAAGGAAGTAAGAGCGAACAAGGATGTGGTTGGGTCCAAGATGGTTCCGCCGATAGTTTGCTGCCCTTCACGTTTAAGACGTGATGATTCCCACACCACTCGTCACCGTAACTTCTGCTACGTTACAGATCACAATTATCAACCATTTTCATCGCTGCCTACGCCGGCCTGGGGGTCTAGATAACAAGGACGCCGAGCGACCGGGCGTACCCGCTCACGCGACTTGCCTTGCTTCTTTAGCCTCGCCATATATAGTCGCGACTGCCCGTTCGGTGCTCCAAAATTTTGCAGATTTTTTGGTATCTTTTAACTCGTTTTTTCTACATATTTCCACGTTTTTCTTTTTTTCAGAGGCCGTATCGTTCGACGCGTCCTCCGTTTTAAGAAGCGTTCGGAAGACCTTATTTGACGCGCCCCATTGTAACTCGTTTCAGCCTAAAAAAATTGACAGGGCACAACAGTCAAATTGTAAAAAATTTCGAGACCACTTTCGAGACCGCCAGTCACGGTTTTGACCACAGTCTGAGCAGCAATAGAAGAGCGTTCATTTGAGATTAAAGAGCGAGCACGAGAGTGTAACGTCATGACCAGTGTGATTCCGATTGGATGGGGCCTGCTACGAATGGCCGCTTTCAACTCTTGAACCCTCTCTTTTTTGTCGTCGTTGGCGGCGATTCTGAGCATCAGACAATAACGCAAATAACGACAAGGAATTGTATTCGACTGCCATGCTACGCTTCGTCAACGTTCTCCTCTTTTTCGCAGCCTTTCTTTTACTTCTCCTCAACTCGGTCTCCCTTCCCGTCACGAAATCTATCAAGTACTTCTCCATAAATGTCAACTTTCAAGCAGGTCTCATTAGCTCAGGAGTCCGCGGCGGCGTCTCATTCGGCAACTGGGGATGGTGCACCCATCCCACCGTCGTGGAGTAAGTTTTGCGCCATTGCTCGCGACGATGACGACCGCTGAACCATCTTTTTTCCCACCAGAACCTTTGGTATCGAACATACTGAACCCGGCGAATGCAGCGACGTCAAGCTGGGCTTTGATATTGACGACAGACTCGTAAACTTGCTGTATGTGGTCATACCGCTTCGGATCTCCAAAACTGACCAACCCACCTTCAAGTGACTTGCAAGGTCTCGAGGATGCGATCAACGGAGGTCTCACCTTTGCCCTCGTTCTCAACCCCATCGCCTGCGGCGTCACCTTTTTGACACTCTTGTTCGCCATTTGGTTCGCATGGCGTCAGAAACGGGTCGCCGCTCTCCTAGGAGTCATCTTTGGTGTTATCTCTGCAGTCCTCGCCACCATTGCCTTTGTCATTGACATCACCATCATGACTGTGGCCAAGAAGAATGTCGAAAAGCTGTCTGACAACTTTTCTGTTACCTATGAACAAACTACATGGATGACCCTCGTGGCTATGATTCTCTTGTGGATTGCAGTCATTATTTTCTGCATCACTGGTCTATCTTGGATCAACGTTGATTGGGCATCCGCCGAAAGCAGATTCAAACGGACATTCTACACGACAACCGAAGACGGTCAATCCAGGCCTCCTACAGTCCAGTCATTCTTCACATGGCTATTCAATTTCGTCATGGCCGATTTCCAGCCTAGAGCATCATTCTTGGCAGGATTATTGCTGGGTTTACGAGTAGGATAGGCAGACAGAAGGTTTAAAAGGCTAGAGTAAGGTATATAGCTTCAAGTGTCCTAGAAATATAAACAGTCGGAAATCTGAATGCTACAGTGGGTTTATAAGAAGAAAATGTTTGGGCGATTCATCCAGAATGTCCTTGTCGTTCAAATCGTTAAGTGATCATTTAATAGGTTTCCTTTTGCCTATCGATTCGTCAGCACTTGTGTTCAAGTGTGTCATAAGGCTACTTACTTGGTGCGTCTACCGCGCAGACCAGTGATGCA